TTCCTTTTTCTGTATATGGGACGCTGGACCCGTTTTCCAGCAGGTGACGCTCCCCTCCAATAGATGGAGCCTCTCCCCAGGTGTTAGTGGTGTCTGCTCTTATCAGCAGCACTAACACTGGTGGGGGGGKTTCTTAAAAAGAARAGAAAAGAAAAAAAAAAAGAGAGAGAGAACCAGTGAAAGTGGKTCAACTGTTCAACATGCTTTGCTTGCACGTTCTATCTGSGAGTATATACATCATCACATTGAGATGATTGAGTACATGACATGCCAATCTGCATTCAATAGCTTGTACGGCCTGCACTGTCCTAGTAGCCTTGGGAATCTGCTGCTGTCATTATTCTTACCTGCTTTGTCCGTGACATCCRTGAATTCCTTGTGTTTGTCCTGTATAGTGTRTAGTTCACAATCTAAACAATTAAATTTCCCTCTGCTATTCCTGGAGGCCTTAGACGATATACAGAGARATCACCATGCATTTAGTGAGGATTTGCTMATGTCTTTTCTCCTGTTTTTCTGTGTGAACTTATACGATGTGTTGCAGCCTTGCAGGCCCTTGTCGTTGCAGCAATGGATGCCATTTTCTTTGGTGCCCAGAAGCTGAATGAAGTTTGACATCACTAAAATATTAGACCCTGAGACTCTGAGTGCACACCACCTCCACTCGACACATCTGCAGCATTGGGTCCCACTCTTTTTCTTCTTTTTTTTTTTTTCTTTTTTTTTTTTGGTTCCATTCAATCCCACCCACGGTAGACAATTTGAGATTCGGCCCCACCCATCCCTGCCCCAGGCCCCTCTCATGAAAGCATGTGGGCCGGTAGGCACAACAGGCSGGTCCAGCTCCTCAATCTTGCKGCATCAGARGAAACTTARYGGCCGTCGATCCCTTAGGATAAGCGATCAACATTTCAGGTTTTTCAAATGCGTCAGTTCGAAATTTTGAATGTGCACGGCAGTTGTTGTAGTGAGGTTTTCTGTCTGCTGTCATGATCATGGTGGTTCCTTGTAATAATAGTGCCTTGCTTCACTACTCTCCAAATGTGAAACGACAGAAACATGGCGTGCGTATCTCCTGACCTTGTAGCTGAAGATATAGGACAGTTGCTATTTAGCACATTGGGAGAGTAGTGAGGCGAGTCCCATAGTGCTTCACCTTGGGCATAATGGGTCATCGTGCTCATCCTTAAATTTCCGCTSTACCCTGCACGTAAGCCCCGCTCTTCTTTATCCACCTTCTCCTCTCCTCGTCTCCACAATCCTTCTCCTCCTAGTTGTCCTCCTCTCCTCCCGCTCCCCCTGCTCGTCTCCCACCTCCTCCTCATGCTCCATCTGCTACGTCTCCAGCTCCTCGTCTTCGTCATCAATCTTCTRTCCAGCSTCCTCCTGCTCCTTTCCCTCTTCCTTCTCCTCCCCCTCCACCTTCTCCTCCCCMTGCTGCTTCTGCTGCACACAGAGAGAGAGRGCTCCGTCGCTCTGGCGAATCTTCCTCCCCTCACGCATCTGGACCACCCTCTCCTCTCACTCTTTCTCCTCCTCCCCCTCCTCCTCCCCCTGCTGCTGCTGCTGCATCCACACCCGCGCGATAGATAGATAAATAGATAGATAGATAGACAGACAGACAGATAGATAGATAGATACAGAGAGAGAGAGAGGATGCTCCGTCGCTCTAGGGATCTTTTTCCCCTCATGCATCTCCGTCTTCTGGCCTACTGCTGCCACATTCCACAAGGCTCTCCCCTCCCTTTCGCCTGTCATCTCCCTTGCACTCTTCCACGTGTCCTTGCACCACCCTCTCCCCCTTGCGTCACCTGCTTAGTCCTCTGCAACCCCTTGCCCACCCTGCCCACCGCCCTCGTCACCCTGTGTTCTTGCACTGCCACACCTTAGTATTGTGAGCGCTTGTAGCCTCAAGGCTGTAGAGCAGGGTATTGAGATGCAGAAAGGCAACAAGAGGATCTCTGTTCAGTGAAGGGAAGGGMGCGAAGTATCGCGGTGGCGGACGTGGAGAGAGGAGGTTGGCAGGAAAAGAGAGAGGGGTGGGGGCAAAAGAGGGTGGAGTAAGGGATACCATGGCATCAACCAATGGCTWTGCAGCTGCAAGACGAGCATCAGCCGATGGCTTTGCAGMTGTAAGGCGATTATCAACGGATGGCTCTGCACCTACAAGGCGAGTTTCCRCRTTGGGTGGCACTACCAGAGGACGGCGCGCATCACGACGTCCCAAGCRCGTTTGGGATGGCAAGCTCGTGGCTTCCCCTGATGGAAGAATGAGAAGGTTTGACTATGGGGCAGAGCGCATACTGGCAGAGGGGCCTCACCAACGTGACACATCACCGAACCCTCGGAGCAAGCATGAGGCCTATGTCGATTTAGGACTGGGGCCTACATGCAGGGTGAGGGACTTCTCCTTATGTGCACCTTGGAAGTGGTCTGAACCTGGAGTTATAGATGAAGCTGAAGCGGCTGTTCGGAGAATGTGGGTCTGGGTTGCTCCTGATCTGGAGGAGAAACTCGCRGCATTGCGAGAGCGAAGGAAAGAGATCCCATTGACACCAGCGATGGCACRAAGAGATCAGGATGGTGAGCTGGACAAGAGGCTCCAAACTTTTAATCAGGGTGCACAGCCTGGTGAAACAGACGAGGAGAACAGGAATGGGGCGGGGGCCACGAGGAACGTGGAAGAGGGGGCAGTCCCRGAAACAAGAGCTATGGGGGTCAAGGGCGACTCAGAGGCAACAGCAGTAGCGGATCCAAGGAGTGGTTTTGGTAATACCCCTCTAGTTGAAATAGACAGGAATGGGGAAGGGGASGAGTCAAGGATGCAAAGGAGGGAGCTTGTCCGCAGCCCAAGTCAACTAGCAGTATCCAGGCGTGCTGAAGAGGACGAGCAGGAGCAACCTTCCTCGTCGGAGGATGACGACGAAGAAGAGGAAGAAGAGGAGTATGACGAGGAGGAAGAGGAGGAGGAGGAGGAAAGAGATGATGATCATGGTGATGAGGAGGAGGATGGTGAGGAGACTCACAACGAAAAGACGCGACCATCTACACCGCGACGTCCCAGAGTGAAACAGAGGGTGAAGGATGAGACCGATAGTCCTTGGTGGAAGGACTTGCTAGGAGGCACGCCTCGCTTCCCCTTTGGGTCCCGAAAAGTTGATGTTGACCCTTCCTCATCAACAGGTGGTGAGGAGAAGGAGACGGGTCTGATGAGTTTCCATCAGGCTGGCCCCACGACTGACCTAGGAGCCACTACTGCCAGCGTAAAGCAGAGTAGCATGCAGAGGAGCGAAAACGTGAGYGGTGGACAATCTGAGGGGTCGCTTAAGGAAGGCAGCAAGAGGGAGAACCCCAACCCCATGAGTGGGCTTGCTGGTTCKKCAGCTGCTTCTGCTGCTGATGGAATGGGAGCTGATGGGAAAGGACGACCGAACACAGGCGGCAGTGGGGAAAACGTAGGAGGAGGAGGAGATGTAGAAGATGTGGATGAGAAGACCAGCTGGAGGCAGACTGCCCAAGATGTTGCAGGTCATGTGCTCGAATCCCGCTKGTTCAAAGCCGTGGTTATCGGAACAATTCTTGCGAACTCCATCACGATCGGCTTGCAGACATCATTGTACCTGGAGCATCGAGTGGGAAATGTATTCAAAAGGCTGGATTACTTCTTCCTAGGGGTATTTGTGATCGAGATACTGATAAAATGGGCCCATGGTTTCCGGGCCTTCTGGCGGAGCCCCTGGAATGTCTTTGACTTCACCATTATCCTGCTTGCCATTTTAGGAGAAGCTRTCATCAGCTTGGCGTCACCAGGAGTGCAGCAGATCCTTCKGGTARTACGGTCGTTAAGAATACTAAGGAGCATAAGTACRATGCAGGGGTTGCAAGTCATTGTCAATGTGTGTGCTGAGTCACTGCCTGACATGGGCAATGTCCTCGTGCTTCTGCTCATTGTCATGTTCATATGGGGTGTYGTGGGCGWGTCTGTGTTTGGCCAGGCCGTCCCTGAGCACTTTGGCACCATTTGGGGTAGCATGTTTACACTTTTCGTGCTCATGACGCAAGATGGATGKGTGGTTATATTCAGAAAGCTCGAGAAACATGGCCTCTTTGCCCCTGCCTACCTTTACTGCGCCTCTTTCATTGTGATCGGCACCTACGTCTTCCTTAATGTTCTTGTGGGCATAACTGTAACTAACCTGCAGTTAGCCTACCAGGACATCAARAAGGCTGCGAAGCAAAGGGTGTCAGAGCTGTCCTCCAAACAGTCCACTGGCACAGATAAGGACAAACTAGATCCCRGCCCTACRATTCTCTCCTCCTTGSTCATAAATGAGGTGGCTTCGAGTGTCTGGGACTCTCAGAGACCAATTGAGCGTCCAACCCTCCAACACATTCCCATGTCATTGCTAGAGAGCTATGCCCTCCTCATTCTCGCCATGGAAGATAACATAAAGGAGCTCGATCGTATCYGATGCGCTCTCATTGATATCTGCATCGAGATTGAAGAGCTGAATGCGCCCCAGGATCTCAACGACGAGGAGGTCATTCAGGATGGTGACTGGTCTGAGTCATCCGGGGAAGAGGATGATCGGGATCTTGACTTCCGGAAAGGTGCCACTCAGCCTGAGACACTCGAGGAACGCGTGTCACGTCCAACACCGGGGTTGCAGTTCGCGAGAGAACGGGCAGATATTCTTTCTGAGATGATCAGAGGAGGAGGGGTAGATGCAGCCCCCGTTGGTGAACAGGACCCCCAGGGAGGCACAGAATCGCACCCAGGAATGAGAAGGCCAAGGTCCAGGTCTCTTCCTGAGGATGCTTCACGACCCGGCAAGAACAAGGGCCCCTCCATGCCCCAGCTGCGGTTCTGAGTTCCGGCCCCCATTTTCCCTAAAGCTTTGATATTCTCTTTTTTTTTTTCTTTTTTTTTTCTTTTTTTTTTGCTGGGACCATTTCTCGATTTATGTGTGTCATCCGTCCACAGGGACCATGCTAATCTTTTCTGTACCGTTCCAATTTCAAAGGATGTCCCAAGGGACTATTCTTTGGGCGTTCTTGCTCCACCAGTCTCCCAACCACATGCAAATTCGAGTGGTCCAAGAGCGATTTCCCTTTTTTCTATTTTTTTTTTCTTTTTTCTTAACTTTGTGGAAGTTTGTGCCCAGGGCGATTGCTTACCGAGGTGATATGAGCATCCTCATTAAGCAAGTCCCTGTCTTGAAGGCTCTATCTATTGGTGCCAAGAGCAATTTCATACTCAAAATGCCTGGGAGACCATGAGACACTCAAAATGCCTGGAAGACCATGAGACAGGAGTACCACGATGAAAAGATGCCATCCTCAAGGAGGCTATTTGGGAGTCATACTGCCAGATCTGGCAAGATCCTCACCATGTCTTCTCTGAACTACAAGACGATCTCAATATACAGTGGAAACACTGGAGGGCAGGAGAGATGGCCTGGCAAAGAAAACCTTTCGAAGACTTTGCAGTCCCGTTCCTCCCGACCAATTTTCTGCTCATCTCTTAGAACCCCACCGCACAATGGCTCATGCCGCCCTCATGCAGTGACCTATCCCGCCTGCCCATCTGCTACCCCCAGCACTGTCCTCCCCYCCGCCCTTCTCCCACCCCCATACCTTCAACCACCMGCTGTCTCTTYAGATGCTGCAGACAAAGGGGGGCAACTGGGTGACTTCAAGACAACGGATCGTCAGGAGAGGAGTGACAGCAGACACGGGTCAGAGGCTACATCCGGTTGGGCACAAGAGATCATCAGACATGGGATGCCGGTTACATAGCAAACAGTGGACACATCCGGGCAAACAAATCGTGACATACTGCAATGCCGCCACGAGGGAAGGAGGACAGGGGAAGTARCGCCCCATTCAAGATCTGGTACACTCTGCAAAGTCGTGGGGTGAGAATGACCTGAAACCTCAAGGGGACGATGTCAACATCTGGACGTCTTCAAGACACTGTGGCGAACACAAGGGCTTCCTTTTACTTGACTAACTTACCATGACTTGAAATGAAAGAGACTGTACTGTGCTGAGGGTTTAGGGGTTAGGGTTTAGGGGTTAGGGGATTATATTATACTCCCCAGAACCCCCGCATGATGAAGTACCAGAAGAGATCACGACATATCAGGCGCTCAGAGGATGAGTGAAGAGGTACAGAAGGTTCAACTGCAGACTTGGGTACAGACCAAATTCCCACAGATTGTAGCAGTCTCAAAAGATAACTAACACAGTCTAGCATTGTTTAACATTGTTAAAAAACTCATGTTCCAAAGGGTGGGGGCCGGGGAACGGGAGGTCAGTTTGCCTACATGCACTGGGGCCCATTCATCGGTGATAGAGCCTGGCTCCATGAGTGAAGGGAAATAGCAGCCATGGGACTCGGGTTTACTACCACMTAACTAAAGCTGTCATGTAGGCAAAAGACTTAGATTACTGARTAGGTGTATAGCTTTATTGCGAAATCGCCTCCTTCGAGGATGGACCATAAAGCTACCGGTTACCACAATCAAATGTCTGTGTAAACAAGGAAACATGTTGTTATGGGATGCTGGACCCGGTTTCCAGCAGGTGCAGCTCCCCACCAATAGATGGAGCCTCCCAAGAGTGATAGCGGTGTCTGCTCTTATCAGCACCCCTACCACCACCTCGGGTTGTTCTGATAAAAAAAAAAGAAAAAAAAAGAGAGTGGAACCTTTTCGTTCCGTCGCTTCGCTACTCTCCATGGTCTGACTACCTCTCAAGGCGCTCTCTTCAGGCCCTGATCATGCCCCAGTTACAATTCCAGCTTCCCTTTTCCCTTTCTCTTTCTTCTTTGGACCTCACTCCACCACTCTCAAAATTGCATGAAAATGGAGTGGTCCTTCTTGGAATGATTTTCAGTGAATAGACGGTTTTCATTCGTCCACTGTTTTTTCTTTTTTTCTTTTTTTTTCCCTTTGGACTTGGTACAGAGGCTGGTAAGAGAAGACCCCTGTACCAGGCCCAGTGTGTATGATGGCTCTACTCTCCCCGGTGGAATTCTATAGGTACTCTACACTGTCATCGAGATTTGGACGCAATACAGAAGAAGATTCCACAGTTGCTTGTGACAAGCCAAGCTCTGTACGCCGCAGCTTCACGTACCCTTCGGGCTAAAACCCGAAGTAAGATCTGAAGTACGGATCTTGACTGTTTACAGAAAATGGGGTTCATTTCTCAAATTCTGTGGGCCAATAGCATGCATCTTTTGGGGTTGCCCCTGTCCTTGTTCAAATTAGTCTCGTGCGGCCAATCAGCGACCGCGCGGGAATTTCCAAAGAAGCGGTTATGAGTTTCGGTTGACGGCAATTTTCAATTGTCTTTGCATCTGCACGCGCACGGCCGTTTTTGAATTCTTGCTTGCCACAGAAGCTCGCTCCCTGCTTTGCGCGCGCACGCCACCTTCCTTTCTTGCTGTCCTTCATCTCTCCGCACCCCTTCGTCTCCCTCCAAACCCTCTGTTCGAGCCCCTCCTTGTTCTTCGGTGCGATTCACTGGTCGACAGTTGGGATGGTTGGATCAAGCCGTAAGAGCGAACTTACGAGCACGGCGTGAACGACCACCTCACGTGAACAAAAGTTTCAATCGTCCCGCCTTCTCACCTTCCGGAACTTTCTTCCTTCTCTCCTCCTCATCTATCCCCTCGCCACCTGCACTACACGCTGGTGCCTGACCCCCTTCCATGCTATAAATTTGCGGAGCACCTTCCTCTCATCCTCTTTGATCTTGGCTGCAATGCTGCGCGAGCTATGCGCGAAGTCCGCAGTGCCGAACAGGCTTAACCTGCCCAAGGAACGGGCGGAGTGACGGCGTGGGGTGGAATTAGCGCTAGACTTGGGTAAAGACAGTCAGAGGGACTGAGCGGTGGTGGAGACGGAAACAAATCCAGCAGGAGGGCCTTGTGGCTATGTTTGGCTAGCGTTCGGTTGGGTTGGTGGTTGTGCACGCAAAGTGCCAGCATTGTTGTAATTTTGAATAGCGAGGGACTCGCTTCTTCTCCATCGCTGCTTTATCCATTGGTTGTGTGCGCTAAAGACTAAGTTGCGGTGTGGAAACACTCGCTTCTTCTCCATCGCTGCTTTATCCATTGGTTGTGTGCGCTAAAGACTAAGTTGCGGTGTGGAAACATTGGTTGTGTGCGCTAAAGACTAAGTTGCGGTGTGGATACATTGGTTGTGTGCGCTAAAGACTAAGTTGCGGTGTGGATACTCAGTCGTGTGCATGAATTTGGTAGTGAGTGTCTATGGATAGTGAATGCTTCGCTGTCAGAAGGGTCGGTGATTTTTTTTATTTTTATTTTTTTAATTTTATTTAATTTTATTTATTTATTTATTTATTTATTTATTTATTTTTTTATTTTTTAAGCGGGCCCTGTGCCCAAGGCTGATATTACCAATACGAAGATTGAGGCCGGGGTCCTCACAGTCTACCCGGAGTGACCGAACAGAATCTGTTGAGAACCGGGCTCAACATCCCTCATATGATGATGATGATGATGATAAACTTCTGCTCATTTAATGAAAACTGTGGAATGTGCCTCTTCACCCTGCCGGGCGCCAGATATACAATTACCCTCAGCACCCCAAACCCCTTTTTTTTTTTTTTTTTTTTCCCAAAAATATAAGCAATTAACTTCACCCCTCCTCACTATCAAACCACTGTAATTCTACCATAGCAAGCTGAGAAGGGGGAAAGGGATCTGCAAAACAGTTTGGAGATCTAAGTGAAGACCCTGGTTGTAGCGTGAACCAGTCCCAGAAGCAGAGATGGAAGTTCTTCTCGAGAGGTTCTTGTGGAAAGATTGAATGAAAGTCTTTGTTGCCATTGTGCACATGTGTGCGATCCCTGGGGTCATTGGGTCTTGGGCGTCTGCTTGTGTGCCTGAGTGTGCCGAGGCTCTCTGCTGCCCGACCAACTGCCGATCCCCGCGCCTTGTGCGAGTGTGAGATCATCGCCAAGTCCACGGCCTCCCGGAAGGTCTGAGTAGTGGCCTTTCGGAGTGTCCCACGCTTAGGCTAAGGCAAGTGGGCAAGTGGCGAGGCAAGTGGTGGAGTCTGCCCGTGCTGAGTCAGCAGTCCCAGTCCTAGGCAGTCCTGGTCCAGTCAAGCAAGTACCGCATGGGACTGTGTGCACTTCGGGCCCGGGAAAGGGGCCAGACCAACGCACTGCAAAAGTATAAATCAAGAGGCAGCGCCCAGCCATTCATTGATTACTGCGTGAGCCATGTGGAAGCGCTGCCACAGCGACTTGTGCAAGGAGGTCTGCAGTGGACCCGAAGACGAAGCGGGCAGAGAGACGGAGCTTAGCCATAGCGATAGGGTAGAGGCGGCCGTAGCCACCATAGCTGTAGTTAGTGTTCAGTGTGTGGGTGTGGGTGAGTGTTCAGAGACGCATGTGGGATATCCCGGGTGATCCACTGTATGCGAACAGAGAGTTGTATGGCCGCTATATCGCCATAGCCATTGGAAGTGAACTCGTATCTGGGTTGCCATATCTCTCAGTACTGAGTGGGGGCATGTTGCCAGTTTGCTGCGCTACTGTTTGCATGCATGTAAAGTGTGAATGAAAGCGAGTCTGATTGCACTTCAGTGCTCTGCACTCATCCTGTTCTGATTAGTCTCTCATCTTGTTTATCAGCACCTCTCCTGTACAACTCCTTTCCGTAAGCCTTTTTCTCGGACTCCATTGTTGCCTCTTTACTTACATTTTTTCACGCCAGTCACGCTGGTTGCAAAAATGTCTCCCTGCGCTCTCAAATGCTTTCATAACATTGTCACGGCCGCTCACGTTCTTCCTTTCCTTGTTGAGCTCCTTTCCATTTGTTCCTACGTAGTCCTGCTACCGACAATATCTTCACCCGGTGCCAATGCACTTCAGCACTTTCTTCTGGCGAAGGCAGCGGAACGGCACCATGTGTGAGGT